CCTAGCAATCGCCATGTGAGGAGGAGAATGGCAATGGAGATGACAGACTTGGAAGAAGGGCAGCATGCGACCAATGTGCACTTCGTCCTCGCCGGGCTTGACGGCCGCGGTGTCGCCATGCTTGGCTTGCCCAAACATGATGAGCGCCGGGTAAAAGTTGTCTTCCACCGTGACCTTGAGCTCCGAGATCTCGTCGCAGAGCACGGCAAAGACCGTGAGCACCTGTAGCCACGATGCTACATACGGGGAACACGATGAGCAAGGAGTGTACCTTGTTGAAGAGCTCGTTGTCGGTGCGGATGAGGTCCTGAACGTCGACGCGCTCGGCAGGATGCAAATGCATCTGGATCGGGTCGGCCTAGGCACGTCAACATGCGCATGAGGCTTGTGTGGAAGAACGTTGCGGTCGCATACCCAGTAGCCCCACACTTCCGACATGGCGGCCGACAAGGCGTCTTCAATCTCCTTGAGCTTGGACTAACGACGGGCCAAATGAGTGTTGCATCCTCGGCATGCTGATACCGTGTGCTCGTTGACAATGTCGAGGGACTTTTGCAGCTGCTCACGGATCGGCTGGTCGTGCACGTCAAAATCGGCAAACGCCGAGACGAACTGGTAGTCCTCCTCGTCGATCGCGTCCAGCTCGGCTTTGGGGAGGTCCTTGTTGTTGGCCGCAGCACGGAGGCTCTTGGTGCTCACGCGGCTCGACGTGCTGCGCACCGAGGCCTTCGAGTCGGAGCGGTCGCGGTTGCTCATCATGGACGCGCGCGAGTCGAAGCGGTCGAGGCGCGTCGAGTCGGCCCACGAGACCCGCGAGTCGAAGCGCGGGCGGTCGTGCTGGCGGTGGCTGGCCTCGGAGGCCGCGCCGTCGCTATGGTCGTCGTCGTCGCTGCGGCGCGAGGATGCGTCCGAGGCCTGCCGGGCGGGGGCCGGCGTACTCGCGCCCTCGGCGGCTGCGTCTCCCTTCGCCTTCTTGGCCATCTCGGTCGTCGGTAACACTCGGAAGATTTTATGCTGACGCAAGGTCCCCGGATACGCAAGTTGTATTCGGACGATCGGTGATTGGCCAATATCTACATCTTTTCCGCCAATCGAAGAGAGGGCAAGATCGCGCGGACTGCCAACGGCAAGTGTGTCGATGGATCTCTCAACACTGCGTACAATTGACTTTAGTCTACTTTGATAAACTATAACAAAATAGGTTAAAATATGCTTAAGACAATATGGTAAAAGGTGTTTCACGCCGGCACTGGCAACCGACAACACGCGACGATGCTGGCCCAGACACACGTGTGGGACTCTGTCCTGTCCATCGCACAGGTCGATACTTGGTGAGACGCGGCAGGCTAGGTAGACAATATACGACGCACGCACGAATGTCTGTCCTAAGCTCGACGACGAGGGCATCGACTCTACAGCTTCATGGGCGCTAGCCTTGTCGACAGCCAGACCTAACCTTACCTAAACCTCGAATCACTCTATAAAAACTCAACCGCTTCCAACACGCAATACGGAGTAGACTAGTAGTGAGGTCACGTAGACACTATGCTCTTGCGAATCCATCATACCCAGATCGAAAATTGATGTACGACGAGTACTGTTCTGTCTGTACAGCCTTGTCAACAGTATTTGCTCAATGTCATCGCACCCTATGATTACACTAGCTGCGTGATGCTCTGTGGCGTGGATGATATGACGGCTACGCACACCGCATCATCTAGGACAAGTCAGTCTTGTGACCTCTCAATGCTGAAATTGCTGAAGCGTTTTGGGGCACGACTGCCTAGTTGAGGCGACTTGACTTTGGGTAATTTCTCATTTCGATGGCGGACCCAGACCCTACTCGTTAAAATTGTGGGTTGGTTTGAATAAATGGAATGCCTTGAACGCCAGAGTTTCCCACTGACCGCCTCATAATTTGGCGTCACTTATCCATTGATGCTAGAGCTCTTCAGAATCAAATCAACCCAGCTGATGATGCGCTTGCTTGATGTATTGAATTTTAAACAAATGAGAGCACCGTACAGAACACTTTTCGTGCTTAAACGCGACACTTGCTGAGCATCGACGCAAGCTCGAGCGACGTCGGACGATCTTCTACGTGCAGCTGGAGACACTTCTTGGCCATCTCGGGCACCCATGACGGCACATTCGGACCGTTCAGCGTCGGCTGGAGACGACCCTCGCGCACTTCCTGGAGGACGTAGTGCTGGGCCAAGGCCTTGCCTGTTTCTGGGTGGCGCTTGTCGGCGTACGGCACTTGATGCGTCGCAAACTCGGACAAGATGATCCCAAACGAGTAGATGTCGGCCGGCGCACCGTAGTTGGTCGCAGAAATCACTTCTGGTGCCATCCACTGGTACGTGCCGATGCCGTTGGTCATGAGATCGTCTTCTTCCGCGACGCGCGACTCGCCAAAGTCGGTGAGCTTGGTACCCTTGACCGAGTCCAAGAGGACGTTGCGCGACTTGAGGTCGCGGTGGATGATCGGCGGCTTGTACGTGTGGAGGTAGACAAGACCACGGACAATACTGAGAATGGACTTGAGCTTTTGGTCCCAGCTAAACTGCGCCGGCGACTGGTTCACGAGGTAGCTGCGAAGGTCGCCGAGGTCCATGTACTCGACGACGCACTCGATCTCGATCGGTCGGGTCCAGCTGGCGCCGACAAACTTGACAATGTAGTCGCTGTTCATCCTAGTAGTACAAGTGGAGAACTTGTCATGCGCCTGCTTCAAAAAGAAGAAAGAACGTACTGGGACATGAGGACGATTTCGTCAATGAACTTTTGAACCATGCGGGCCTCTTGGTTCTTCATGCGCTTGATGGCCACTTGCTTGCCGCCGTACGAGCCGAGCCAGACTTCGCCAAACGCACCCGAAGCAAGTGGTTTGCTGGCCGTCACAATGAGCTCCGAGAGTTCGAGCCGGTGGTGAAGGAGTGGCTTGACGTCCAAGACGATGTCAGCATCCGGGTTGATGATCGACCGGCGCGTGCCAGTAGTACCGGCGGTGGACCCACCGGTGTCGTTGGCGCCAAGGGCCTTGCTGCTGACATGGCGACTGTCCGTGGTCGCATCGACGCTGTCACTGCCTGCGCTCTCGGAATGCTCGTAGATGGGGGCGAGAGGCGGGTGCAAGATTTTCCGGCGCTTAAAAATGACAAGGGCGGCAATCGCGCCGAGAAGAGCCAGAACACCGACGACGACACCGATGATAAGGCCCGTGTCTAAACTCTCAGAACTTGGTACAAGTTGGTGCTTTTGCCGAGGTCTTACTTGATGACGTGACAACGGGAGGACTCGTTGTCGTGGGGGCACCTGGCAGTACGCAGACGTTGACCATGTACTTGGTCGTCGACTTCCAGAGCCGCTGGATCGTGCCATTGAGGGCCAAGCAGTTGGCGGCATTTGTCGAGACGTCTTGGTTCACGAGAAAGCCGCGGTAGAGGCGGTCGCTGTCGGCGTCGCCCGCATACGGAAGCACGTCGAGCGCTGCAAATGTGCTCGCATCGATCGTCATGTTGGTCAAGAGCGGGCAATCGGCAATGTCGCTAGACAAGACAATAAGTTCCACAACCTCGATCCTTTCCTGTTGACGTACAAATATTCGATTTTGGTCGAGAGCTGGACGCGTGCAATGGACTGGAGCTTCTTGTTGCCCGAGAGACGCCTAAGACACCATAACAGGCTAGCATTCGAGGGTGAGGAGGACTGTACAGGAAGGTAATCGCTCGCCAGTCGCGGTCTGTGACGGACGGCAGTTGGTTCGAGTCGAGATTCCTGCGTTCAAATGAGCGCCATCATACGACGAAGTGTCACCGTACAGCCTCGTCAAGTGGGGCGGCAGGTAGTTCAAGTCGATGAGATTGCTTCCCGCCATCGACCTAGAGGTAGTGAGAGCAGGAGATATGCATGGCATCCTTCATAAGGCGTACAAGGACGAGACGGACGCTGGCAGGTTCTTTGGAATGTTGTTGAAGCCGACGTCAAAAAACGTACTAGGGTACGTCCTCATGAGCACGCAACGACGCAATAGACAATGTTGTACATGTTTTGAAGCAAGGGTGGCCATTGAATGTTGTTGGTGATCTTGGGGCTCGACGTGAAGAACTCTCTAAGTCACTCAGATTTACATCGATGGCATCGACGGCGACTCGTACAGCTGTAGAAGCGAGCGCCACTGAGTCGTTTGGACGACGTTGATGTCAATGGCTGCGACGTCCTCAAAGGTCCTATTCAAAGGCGCGTGGTTGAACCGCCTTCGACTCGAGAGGAAGTACAGCGAAAGCAGCGTCGAGGGCAGCTGCATCTTGCGCAGCGTCAGCGGTGTCGACGAGTTGGAGATCAAGCTAGTGAGCGAAATAAATATGATGGCCAAGAGAATTGCAGGTAGTACGACGTACAGGCTCGGCTGTGTGTAGCCGCTGAGGTCCCCAAGGGCGTCACAGCGTACGTAGCTGCTCGAGTCAGAGGAAAACGACTTGAAGACGGTGCAGTTGGAAGTGACGCCGCAGACGTTGGTCTCCGTGCACAAGCTGTCGGCGACTAGAATGGACCCGTCTTTGGCCAACTGGAGGTCGGCGTATTGACAGGCGCCCAGCGCCCGCCTCGTGACGGCGAGCAGCACAAGCCGTGGGAACCAGCCGCGCATTTCGGAAATGGGAGGATGGCCGCGATCACCTTACAACCCAACACACTTCAGTGGGATCTGCTGGGCTCCTGGCGTCCAGACAGCAACGACACGGCGTTGCAAGAACCATATTAGTGTCTGGGATGAGCCACAAGGTCGAGGTTGTGCCCAACGTGGTTGTTTCTTCTCGCAGTATGGACCGATCTTCAAAAGCGCTCGACCAGCGCGTGGTCGCGAGGCTTCAACGACGAGTTTCGTCTAGCCCGATCTCCTCTCGATCACGCAGCGGATCGGCTCCACGATAGTAGCGGTACGTGCTTGGTCCGACTGAAATACCCGAAACGAGAGGAATGAAACAAGACATCGTCGACGGCGTTGGATGAACGACGACATTTGAACAACAAGAGAAAACTCATGCAATACGTTCTCGCCCAGATCACTCTCGTGGTCAACGGCCCGAGCAAGCGGTGTCCAGTAGAATGCAAGACGCGCTTGGCAGAGTCGAGCGAAAGGTTGCATTTGGCCGACCGCTCAAACAGCATTTCGAGGATGCGTGCAGACACCCAATGCGCGACGAGAAGAACTGATAGCACGGTACAGTGTCATCGTATTCTGCACATCGCAGCTGAACCCGCCATATTCCAATTAGCTGACTTTCTTGGCCAGAGTTGCGGTATCTTGTTTTTTGTATTGCGGTGATCGCCACCTCACGACGGAGAACGCTCCGCACAAGATTACTTCCAACTGCTGGTAGCTTCAAGCAATCCTGTGCGGAGTCCAGCGTCCGTCGACAGCATGCGAGGAACCCATGCATGTACGATGGAGCATCGACTGCAGGTGCGTCGAGCGGCGAATTTCCATGCCAAGACAAGACCTTTAATCGTAACACAAATTGATTGCCAAATGGTCTAGTGCTAGAACGCTTTGTGTGGACCCGCGACCTCGTGGTTGCCCGACATCCGTACAGTAGTACCATCCTTTTCGGGTCGGAATTCCCAGCAACTTCCGATAGCATTGAATTGGGTTGTGACGTCGTCCACGTCGCAACGCCGCATTTCCAAATTGCCCATGCGCTGGACGTCGTTGGTGCTGATCCTCCTTGCGGTCGTCGAGCGCGCGCTCGGTGGCTGCGCGTACGCAGACTTGCAGTTGCCGGCAAATGCGTTCATTTTGGTTGCCGATGCTTCGTGCACCAGCACGCTGCCTGTCTGCGCCGTTCGACCCAACTGCAAGGTCTTCGACTCGTTCACGTCTGACGGCGACAGCTACTACGTGCATTTTGACGCGATCGGCGACCTCAGCGGCTACACGCAACCCAACCTGTACGACGACGGAGTCCTGGAGCAACACTAACGCGCCTCGTAGCTCGGTCGCCAACTCGTCGTTTCTCACGCTTGCCAAGATCAAGGTGCCACCGACGCTCACGAGCCTGTACGTTCCGGTATCGGATTATTCTTGCACCCGTCTCACGTGATCACGGCGCAGGACGCTCACCAACATATCGAGAGTCCATCTCGGTGGCATCCAGACAGCGCAGTGGAGCGCGCTCACGGACCTGTACGTACGACCTTGGTCCATCGGCATCTCAATGCAACCCTAGTACGTTCGACAATGCCAGCATCGTGCTCATCAACACCATCGAATGGCCATCGTCGCTTCGCTCGGCGTACATGACTAGATTGCCTCTTGCTCCGGCACGTCATTTTCATGTGCTTGTTTTCGTAGCATGTTTCGAGACATCTATCTCAACAACATTCCCCAAGGCTTGCCGTCGACGGTCCAGGAGCTGTACGTCACCCGGCTTGTATCTGAGATCTTACTCTGGGAGTAGGGCGATGCAAGGCAACAAGCTCGTGGACCTCATGTACCTTCCGGGCAACCTCACACTTTTGTACGAGGCCAGCGGCATCCTAGCGTGAGCTGATGAATGCTAGGAACCTCGCCGTTAATCTGCTGCCATCGATCACCGACCGCGACTGGAGAGCGCTCACCTTCTTGTGGGTACCATTAAGGATGTAGATGACGGCTCACACGACCACTAGGCGTCTCTCAGGCAACAAGAAACTGCAGTCCATTACCCGAGTCCAGCTCTCGACCCAGCTGGAATATTTGTACGTCGACTATACAATGATCCAAGGTGGACAATAGTGTCCTGTGTAGCGACATAAGAATATGCCCCCTCTTGACCAATATTACGATCGACGCGAGTACGTTTGCAGCACTCGACGCGCTCCCCAACGCCGGCGACGCGGACCAGGACTCTGTCTACCGAGGCTTTGCTGTCAACAACGACATCTCGGCGGATGCCGCCAACTGCTCGGCCGTCAACGGCACGATCCAGCGGCTCTGGAAGTCCGCAAGCAAGTACGTTGTCGAAGTCTGCGTGCTGCCGGTGGCTCCATCGACAACGAGTCCTCCATCGCCTCCTCCGAGGCCAACGCCGTCGAGTAAGACCGAACCCATGCAACATCACTTTCTTACGCTCTCAGTAGACATGGGCCTCATCATCGGTGTCGTCGTCGGCGGTCTCGTCGTTCTCGGTGCCATCGCCGCCTTTGTCATTTTGAAGCGCCGCACGGTTAAACCGCCGCCCACACCTGTCTACTATCCCTACGAAGGCGGTGACAACTTCGACACGGTCAACGACGGCCGCACGTTCGGCTCGAATGGCACCAAGATTGTAGACACCAACGGCACGTGGGGAGCTACGAGCGGTTACAGAAATTAAGGTAATTCAGCAACACGAAGCTCGAAGCTGTCAGATCGCGATCTTCGCGCAAGCGTTTTGGCACTTCTGCATAGATGCGCTTGGCGACATGGAGCGCGAGTGAGCTTGCTTTAGTGCTGCTCTGTGGAAGCCAATAGGGCACGATGGACAGTAGTACATTGCTGTTCCTCCGTGGTCGGTGCCTAGATCGATTCCACGGGTTGCTGCCAGCCTTGCCACATGCATCACGTGTGCTACGGTTTCGCGATCCTCATGATAAAAAGGCACAAGAAGCAGTACATGGTGCTCGAGAAAGTCGTCACGATCGTGCAGGGTTGTGGTCTCTAGAGACTCTACGAGCCGCCATATCATGTCGTACACAGGGCATTACTATCGAGAAAGGTTAGCAGCATCATTGCATATGCACACATTGCTGGGTTGATATTCTCCGCAAGTACGCGAATTAACGCTTGAGTTCAATGTCTATTCTCCAAATATCGAGCAGTCAATGCCTCGTCTCCTTTAAAGCAGATCAATCGAAGACGCAACAAGCATGGTGCTGTCTTCGTCAAAGCCATCACTAGCAGTAGTTAATATGGATCTATTATTTTCGCCATTGCCAGCCTGCTACGTCCAGAAATGTATGGGATGTGACAGCGATTGTACAAATGTGGCGTGGCGCCACGCAGAGTTGCCATGTCTTGGTGTCGCCAATGTCGCTCCAAGCTGTCGTCGGGAGTCGTAGTCGTGTAGTGGTCACCACGACGTGCTAGCTCATCGAGCTCCGAGCTCGGCGCAGGAAATTTTGTTTGGTACGATGCCACTCGCTGCGCTCGCTTGACCGCCACGCGACAGGTGCGTGTGGCTGAAGCAGCACACAACGAAAGACAGGCACGATCGGCCATTGAGGGCGTTCTCCCGTGCGTGCGAGGAGATCTGATAGCACGGTCGTGTAATTGTATCCTGCACATCGCAGCTGAACCCACAAAATTCCAATTATGTAGCTTCAAGCAATCCTGTGCGGAGTCCAGCGTCGATAGCATGCAAGGAAACCATGCATGTACGCTGGAGTGCAAGGACTTTTTTGCTCGTCGGCGCCCGACATCCGTACAGTAGTACTACCCTCTTCGGGCCGGAATTCCCACCTCCCACAGGATTGGGATAGTTTCTCGCGGCACGCGTGAAGCTGGGTTTTTGTACCAAGGCCAAGCAAGGGCGCCATCTTGAACCGCCATGCCCAACAGCCAAGATGGCGGCAGATCGACTACCCTTTTAATAGCAAGGCGCAACCACCGAGATCGACGATCAAGCCTCCAAGGGCTGTTTCCAAGCAGTGGAAGAGGTTTTCCGCGCAAGGCCGAGCGATCCAGAAAACCAAGATCTAGAACCACATACATTACAAGATCCAAGGCGCAGAGCAATCGAGCTCAAACCATTTCCAAATTGGTAGTGTCAGTCAAACAACCAACCCGCCTCGCCCACCACAGGCATGGCGGACACCAACACGGTTGTTGCCCCCAAGTAGTTCGGTCTTGATTGAGGAAACTCATTTAAGATTTGCTCGTCCAACTCCGATCCTCTTAGCTACTCAACGCTCTCTTAACCCACCCACCAGTCCCTTCGTGGGCGGCGGCGGCCTCCCAACACGAACCCCGTTCGTCTCCCCCATGCACTTGCGTTTATAGCCGAGGGGACGAAAGAATTGGGTTGTGACGCATGGCAGCTCCAGGGCACTGGCGACTGTTGTTGCGAGAGCAGATAAGGAGGAGACGGCCACGTCGTCGCACTCGTACCAGACAACACCGAGGCTGAGGTCGCACATAATATTAGTATGCGCAATGGCCTCCATCTCAATCGCGGTAACGTTAGCCCACTCGCCCGGCGTGACGCAAGTAAACACGCTGCAATCTGCATCCTGATGTTCTTCAAAATACTTGAAAGCCTACGAATGCCGTGCTGATCGAAGTCCACGATGTCTTCCCCTTGGTCAGAGGACACCTTGTCCAGCGTTCCGGGTCGGAACTCGGGACTCCCGGCCCGGAGCGCTTCACAAGGTGTCCTCTGACCCTCTCCCGACTCGGGAGAGGGAGAGGCAGTGGTCGTCATCACATCGATTCCTTAAGAATATATTAAATATTAATACAGTATACGAGGCCACCAGAATAATATAATACAATATTCTCTCCTGGATACAAAAAGCCATATTAATACGGTAGTATTATATCAATATTCATACAATTTATATTACTATGTCGGGCGAATATTCAAAATAATAACGAGCTCTGGCTCGAAATAATGCAACTCGCAACGCTGCATTTCGAGAGCGCCCATGTTGCTGTTGATCCTCCTTGCACTCGTCGAGCGCGCGCTCGGTGGCTGCGCGTATGCAGACTTGAACTTGCCTGCAAATGCGTCCATTGTTGTCGCCGACAGCTCGTGCACCAGCGCGGAGCCTGTCTGCGCCGTTCGACCCAACTGCTCCTACAACGGCTTTTACTCGACCAGGTGGAAGAGCTTCGTGCAATTGGAAGCGATTGGCGACCTCAGCAACTACACGCAACCCAGCCTGTACGATGACGCCACCGTTCTGTATGCAAGCTAAGATGTATGTAGCTCGGTCGCCGACTCATCGCTTCTCGAGCTCGCCAAGATGAAGCTGCCATCGACGTTGACCAACTTGTTGACCGTAGTTGCAACCCGGTGCCTCACACGGTGCACCTTGGTAGGACGCTCACCAACATTACGGCGAGAATCGACCTCGGAGCAATTGCAGCGACGCAGTGGAGCTCGCTCCAGAGCCTGTACGTAGCGCCACAACAACTACCGTGCCATCGCATCGCTGTAGAACGTTCCACTTGTCGAACATCGAGATGAACAACGGCATCAATTGGCCGCCATCGCTTCGATTTGTGTGGGTGCCATCCAAGTCCTCGTGTGCTGACTCTGCTCATAGCGTGTTCAAAGATACCGACTTGGTCAACATCCCCCAAGGCTTGCCGTCAACGGTCGAGTCCTTGTACGTCACCCGGCTTGTATCCGAGATCTTATTCTGGGCCTAGGGCTATAGAGGACAACAAGCTCGTGGACCTCACGTACCTTCCAGACAACCTCACGTTTTTGTACGAGGCGAGCGGCATCCTAGCGTGAGCTGATGATTGTTTAGAAACCTTACCGGGAATTTTCTTGCGTCGATCACCGACCGCGACTGGAGAGCGCTCACGTTTTTGTGGGTACCATTAAGGACGTATACGACGGCTCACACGACCACTAGGCGTCTCTCACGCAACAAGAAACTGCAGTCCATTACCCGAGTCCAGCTCTCGACAACCAAGCTGGAATATTTGTACGTCGACTGTATAACGATGCAAGGTGGACAAGAGTGTCTTGTGTAGCGACATGAGAGACTGCCCCCAATTGACGAACATTACGATCGACGCAAGCACGTTTGCGGCGCTCGAAGCACTCCCCAACGCCGGCGACGCAGACCAGGACTCCGTCTACCGAGGTTTCGCTGTCAACAAACACATCTCGACGGATGCCGCCAACTGTTCGGCCGTGAACGGCACGATCCAGCGGCTTTGGAAGTTCACAAGCAAGTACATTGTCGACGTCTGCGTGCTGCCGGTGGCCCCATCGCTGCCGGCTCCATCGACAACGAGTAAGACCAAACCCATGCAACATCATTTTCTTACTTTATCATGAACCTAGACACGGGCCTCATCATCGGTGTCGTCGTCGGCGGTCTCGTCGTTCTCGGTGCCATCATCGCCTTCGTCATTTGGAAGCGCCGCAATGGTAAATAGCCGCCGGTCACATCCGGCTATTACCACTTTAGAGGCGATGACACAGTCAACAACGGCCGCGCGATTGGCAGAAATGGCACCAACGGCGCGGGGGGAGATACCACTGGCACGCACCGGACGGTCATCAACCCTGACGTCGACGTCATCTTGGACGTCAAGCCACTCCTTCACCACCGACTCGAACTCTCTGACCTCTACGTAACCTCCGACAAACCCCTCGCTTCGGGTGCGTTTGGCGAAGTCTGGCTCGGCTCGTACGGCGGCAAGCGAGTGGCCATCAAGCGCATGAAGAACCAAGACGCTCGCATGGCCCAGAAGTTCATTGACGAAATCGTCCTCATGTCCCAGTACGTCCATTTCTCTACGGTTCATGGAGTGGCTGACAGATGACAATCTGTACATTTTAGGATGAGCAGCGACTACATTGTCAAGTTTGTCGGCGCCAGCTGGACCCGCCCGATCGAGATCGAGTGCGTCGTCGAGTACATGGACCTCGGTGACCTTCGCAGCTACCTCGTGAACCAGTCGCCGGCGCAGTTTAGCTGGGACCAAAAACTCAACTGCATTCTCAGTATTGCCTGTGGTCTCGTCTACCTCCACACGTACAAGCCGCCGATCATCCACCGCGACCTCAAGTCGCGCCACGTCCTCCTCGACTCGGTCAAGGGCACCAAGCTCACCGACTTTGGCGAGTCGCGCGTCGCCGAAGAAGACGATCTCATGACCAACGGCATCGGCACGTACCAGTGGATGGCACCAGAAGTGATCTCTGCGACCAACTATGGCGCGCCGGCTGACGTTTACTCGTTTGGCATCATCTTGTCCGAGTTTGCGACGCACCAAGTGCCGTACGCCGACAAGCGCCACCCGACGACAGGCAAGGCGCTGCCGCAGCACTACGTCCTCCAGGAAGTTCGCGAGGGTCGTCTCCAGCCGACGCTGAACGGTCCGAGTGTGCCGTCGTGGGTCCAGGACATTGCGAAACAGTGTCTCCAGCTGCACGAAGAGGATCGTCCGACGTCGCTCGAGCTTGCGTCGATGCTCAACAAGTGCCGCGTCTGAGCGTCGACTCGATGACGATGTTTAACTTGCACAACTCATATGCTGTTGAAAAGCGTCTTCAATAGTATAACTCATTTGTGGTAATCTTGAAGTCTTTTGTTGATGCAATAGTAGAGGAGTGCTCCCTCGGCGAGTGGGGTCCACCACGGGGTGGATATCTCCGTAATACGCAGCTCACGCCCAACGACCAAGTGCTGTAGCCAACTCCCACGCGTTTAGGCGTAGCACTGTACGTATGCGAACTCTTTGTAAGGAAGATAACGTTGATATATATATGGATGTATGCAATTACAGCAGAAAAGACACAAAATTTCGACCCGCGGCCCGCAACTGCCCCACACAGGCCTTGGCGTCGATTGCTCTGTTCGCATTCTGTTTGTCATGTCGAGTCCTCTTTCAATGCGGACTTGACAATTTGAATCCAAAAATGATTCAAGCTTCACGATCTGTCGCTACTACAAAGGTGTACACATTGGCGTTTACATTGTCGACGGTTAAAATAGCGTGGCAATCAAGTAGACATCGAGACCAATCACAAAGAACGTCAAGAAGCTCGTGATGCCGACCATAAACGTCGAGTTGGTCCACTCGCCCATGATCGAGCGCTGGCTCGTAAAGACGACGACGGGGACGAGGCAAAAGGGGACGCAGAAGCTTCCGACGACGTTGCACACCATGAGCACCGACGTGGGCGAGAAGCCGCAAAAGAGAATCACCAAGCACGGCGTGACCGTGATCGCCCAGCGCAGCCACATGCTCAGATGAAAACTCGTGAAGCCGCCCATGATGACCTGGCCGGCGAGCGTGCCGACGGCCGACGACGAGATACCCGCGGCGAGCAAGCCGACGCCAAAGATGATGCTGGCGGCCTTCCCAAGCAGCGGCTCGAGCGTCTTGTACGCGTTCTCCATCACGTCGAGATCCGCATACCCGGCCACGTAGAACGTCGAGGCCGACATGGTCAGCATCGCGATATTGACGATCGCAGCGACACCGAGTGCGATCGCAATGCCCGCAATTTCAAACTCGAGCGGCGGCAAGATGGTTTCACCCGAGAGACCGCGCTCGTGCCGGCCTTTTGTCAGCTCCGAGTGCAAGAAGATGGCGTAGGGCGTGACCGTCGCGCCGACGATGCCGACGGCGTTGACGACGCTCCCGGGCCCGTCAAAACTCGGTACGAAGGTATGGTACGCGACTTGGGGCCAGTCGACGGACGAGAGGGCGGTTTGGACGATGTAGCAGACGACAATCATCGACACGAAGGCAAAGATCGCGGCTTCGAAGTACGCGGCCTTGGAGTTGTGGACGACGAGGAGCGCGAGCGTCGTAAAGCCCGTGAGGATGCCGCCCCACGCGAGCGGGATGCCAAAGAGGAGCTTGTACGCGACGGCGGCGCCGATGAACTCGGAGACGTCGCACGTCACGACGCTCACTTCAGCGACAAACCAGCAGACGTACACCGCCCACTTGGGCCATGCGTCGCGCGTGACCTGGGCCAAGCTCTTCCCGGAGGCAAGGCCGAGCTTGGCCGAGAGGATTTGAAAGAGCATCGCAATCAAGCTGGAGCAGAGAATGACCCAGAGCAGTGTGAGGCCATACTCGGCGCCACCTTCGATGTTGGACGCCATGCTGCCAGGATCAATGTACGCGATGGACGTCACAAAGGCCGAGCTAAGCGCGGGCAGCAGCTTGTGGCAAAACGACTTGGGCGGTGGAGGCGTCTCCTTGATCTCGAGCACGGTGCTGGTGTCGTGCGTCGGGGTCTTGACGAGCGTTGCGGGCGACTGGAGGACAGCGTACGCTGGCGACGGCAGTACGTTGTGGACATGCGACGCGTCCTGGGATGGGCTCGGCGGCTCGGCGACAATTTCTCGCATGCTGCAGAACGAGCGAATCGGAAAATGAGCTGCTGGAACGCCAAGCGATTCGTGCCGAGGACCGAGAAACGTATGGTTTTCCTAATTGCACGACAAGTAACAGCTGTTGCAGGTCGCATGTCAGATCACGTTGCCCACCCCGCGTACCGTTTCGATTGAAGCGCGATGCATCGTTCATCAATAGCCTCTTGCGGCAGGGACTTCCCGATGTGGCTAAATGCATAGATAGCCCCGAGAGATCTTGCGCCAATGACACTCGACAGCCCTCCATTCGTTGCCATCTGGTTTGGATACCGCGTTCAAGGTCGCGAAGGTGAAATTCGGATACGAATCGCAGAGCGCACGCCACGGAGTATGAGCAAAGCACTAAAACTATTCTCTGTATGAAAGCGAGCTCCACCGCTGGAGACTCCTTGACGGATTTTTCGTGTTTGGCAAGTAAAGACATCGAGCGTAGTCGTGATTTGAACAACACAATTCTCACGTGGTGCCACTGCTGGTGTCGTCGCTCGTTGAACGGCATTGACCGCTCGCTTGCGAGAGACCTCGTTTTGCGCTACGAAGCGATATGCAGCTCGAGCTTGTCAGCTGCGCCCGACAAACTAGCGGCGCGCAGAGCTCAGCCTTCGTGTTGTGGCAAGACATGGCCAGGATACCTCTCAAACATCCAGTTGCTATGTCTCCACCGATTCCAACCAGTCATCACGATGTCTCGCATTGGCGCTATGCATAAACAAGCTTTCGACCGCGACCAAGATTCACGACCTCGAATGACGAGGCAGTCGTTATCGGCATGTTGAAGTTGGTAGCTCAGGAGGGACTGAGACGTGGTGCTTGATCATGCAAAGGGGTGATAGCAACGACGACCGCACCCGGGTAACCGACGTCGGACAAGTGGCTCGTGCCTGTCGCTGTTTGTGGACCTGCAACAACAGCCTCCAGAAAAAAACGAAGCCGACCACTGCGAGACCATACTGAGCCTTTATCCCCGGTTCGATCCCATCGTATCAGTATTTAGCACTCAAAGTTCTAGCTCACTTCACGCAAAGACCCAGAACGACACGTGGTCGACCATGTACGCTCGCAGGCGTTGACACGGCTCCTGCATCGCAGCACATTCCAATGAGCGACGACGTGGAAAGCTCGACGCGGACTGACAATAAATCCCACGCGGGGCTTTCTGTGTTGTTGATGTACTAGCTCGAAATGTCTCTTTACAGCACGGGCGAGTACTTGAGGAACTGCATGCTAAAGTCCGCTTCGCCCTGCGTCTTGGAGCGCAGCGCCGTGGCGTACCCCACCATGTTGGCCAGCGGCACGTGGGCGTCAATGCGACTCCGGCCGACGCGCATGGACGGGCAAAGTCCAACCTAGTCTTCTCATCAACACATAGCCCAACCTGTTGTAGACACGTACTTCTTGGATGTGTGCTCGGCGCTGCGAGTTCAAATCCGAGAGGATGTCACCAACGCACCGATCCGGCGTCCGCACGAGGAGCGCCATCATTGGCTCGAGTTGCACGGGCATGGCGAGCTCGATCGCCTCCTTGAGCGCTAGCGACGCGCAGGACCGGAACGCTTGCGCCGACGAGTCGTTGTCATACTCGCAGTTGGCCGCGTCGACGGTAATTTCGAGGTATGCCAGGCGGTGCCCCGTGAGCGGACCACGGCCAAAGCCACTCTACCAGGCACAAAAACTCAAACCACTCAATACTCAAAAGAATAAACGCACCTGGAACCCGTCTTCGATCGCTTGGACAAAGCCATGGGGCAGCTTTTGGAAGAGCGACGCGTCCTTGGCGTCCGACTTCTTCCACTTGATGCGATTCGAACCGTCCTTGGACGACTCGGGGTCGATCGGAGCCAACGTAAACGACACCTTGGCAAACTGCCGGTCGGTGCCCAGCATCATATCGTACCGAAACTCGTGCTACAACCATCCTTGAGAACATCTCATCCGGGCTAGGGTTAGACAGCCCTAACCCTGTTCATGCAAAAGACGTACGTCAACTGTGGCCGAGATCGACTCGCGATACGCGACACGCATCTTGCCCACGGACGGGTTGAGCTTGTACTCGGTCTTGAGCCGATCTTGGAGGATTTCCATGTGCAGCTCGCCCATGCCGCTCATCTAATCAAACATTCAAAATTCAAACATGAGTAAAAATATCGGAACTCGTAGTTCACCAAGGTCTGGCCCGTCTCTTCATCTTGCGTCACCACAAAGCTCGGGTCTTCCCGCTGCAGATGCTGGAGCGCTTCGTCGAGCTCTTTTTGGCGGCTCAGCGAGTCCGACTCGATCGAGCACGTAAAGACCTACACACTATATATGTCGTCGTTCTCGGGCTCTAGCTCGTGAGGGTACCGGCGCTGGGATCTCGACACCGGGCAGCAGGAGACGCGTGTTATCGCTGGCCGCAATCAGCGTATCCCCTGTAAACCTATGCAGCGCAGCATGAGCTTCGGAGTGATACATCGTTTGATGATGGACGGTACGTGTTCTTGAGCCCGACGGCGGCGCCAATGTTGCCAGCCGTGATGAGCTCGACTTCGTCGGCGTCGTCGGCCGCCACCTGCATGAGGCGCGTGATGCGCTCCTTGGCGTTCCTAAGCATAGGGTTAAGATCATATTGCCATGGAGGTTCAAAGCGCATACCGCGTCGTGTTGAGCAGCTGCGCTTTGGCATTGAGCGTGCCCGAGTAGACGCGGAAGAACACAATCGGGCCGCGCTGCCGGTCGTGCTTGACCTACGCGTCACCGTATTTTAGCGCAAACGTGCAGCAGCCACCGACCTTGAAAGCGAGGAGCGAGAGCGGGCTCGAAGCGTCGGCCTCTTTTTCAAGGGTCTTGAGCACCGTGTGGTTCTTGTCGATCTGCGTCGCCTCGAAGGGCGAGCTCGACGGGTCGGCAGGCGACGGCAAGTAGTCGACGACGGCGTCCAAGAGCGGCTGCACCCCCTTGTTTTTGAGCGCACTAAAAATCATATCTGTGAATACTCTCCGAATGCGAGGATCGAAGCGGGGACTACCTGCCGCAGAGGGTCAAAACCGCTCGCGGCGCGTCGTCGGGCTTGCGCACCGTGATGCGCCGCAATGCAGCCTTGAGCGTTGCGTCATCGACTTCCTCTTCCATAAGGAAGAGGTCACCGAGGACGTCGTCAAAATCCGAGGCTTTCTCG